GGTCTACAGCTTTTCAGAGTTCTCCAAGTATACTCTTCTGGTGCTCCTGGCAATTTAAAAGGTCAGCTGAAGACACAGACTGATAGCTTCTCAATGGTTAAATAGACCTTCCCCCATGGTGGGACTCCTTTGTTCGGCATCCCCCACCTCCATGAAAAAATACCAGGTTCAAGATGGATTCCAATGCCAGGTGGCATGATCACATCTTTCTAGGATCAACCACAGTTTGGGCTTACAGGACAAACATGACCATCCGTAAGTTAGTTGGTTTGAGTAGTGATTCGTTAAGTACTTGAAGGATCACTAATGGCCCTCATTAGCGCATTTTGAACTATAAACAGATCCAGACTCCATACTTCTAACTTTACATACAAGAATGATATATGCACAAAAATTAGATATACAGATTCAGCAGATTGTAATTGTAATATTGATGTATTATCTGTCCTGTTTTGCATAAAGCATCTTCAAGTTACGCATTTTTATATTCATAAGACATTTTTCATAAAGCATGGGGAGTGTGAAAATGTTGACTGTAGTTAGGCAATGGGTTTTTTTTTACAGACCTATTAAAATTTTCTTTAATGAATTACTTAGGTTCATAGACGTTAGAGCTGGAGAAAACCTATTTGATCACTAGACTCTGCAGATCCTTTGATATGGGCCACCAGTGGAAGTTGTACAGTCCCAGATATTTGTGCTAAGTTGCTGGTACGTTTGAAGTTAGCCAGTAAGATCAAAAGAAAGGAAGAGTCAAAATTGGATTGCCTTTGCTAGTCAGAGCACAGGGATACTATGTGGTTGTGTCTACACTGGCATGAATTTCCGGAAATGCTTAAAACGGAATACTATTCCGTTTTCAGTTTTTCCGGAAAAGGAGCTTCTACATTGGCAGGCTGCTTTTCCGGAAAAGCCCCATTTCCGGAAAAGCGTCTGTGGCCAATGTAGACGCGTTTCTCCGGAAAAGAGCCCCGATCGCCATTTTCGCGATCGGGGCTTTTTTCCGGAAAAGACTACTGGGCTGTCTACACTGGCCCTTTTCCGGAACAGTGTTCCGGAATAAGGACTTATGCCCGAGCGGGAGCAGAATAGTTTTTCCGGAATAGCGGCTGATTTTGTACAGTAGAGCATCGTTGCTTTTCCGGAAATTCAAGGGCCAGTGTAGACAGCTCGCAGCTTATTCCGGAAAAGCGGCTGATTTTCTGGAATAAGTGGCCCAATGTAGACACAGCCTATAGGTATTGAGAGAGAATTATGTCCCCCAGTTATGCAGAGCATTAGCATTTTGGGGCACACCTGTGAAATAATTTTGTAGTGCATCCACCTCTTGAGACATAGTGGACAGGAGTCAGCTGTGATTTCACTGCTGCACTGTGCTGATGTAAAGATTGTGCTTAGGTTTGGCCGTGTTGGTGGTGGGGATACATCCTAAACATAACTGACTGATTGCATAAAATGGGTGTGTGCACAGGTGGAATAGTTACATCTCCACCAGATTCCTGTTGTGTAGAGCCCTGCTGCTTGTTCCATTCATCCCTAGTGATTGGTTTATATCCATGTTATGTTTCCAAGGCAGCCTTTGCAAAGAAAAGGGGAAGGAACTTTCCTTTTGTAAATGGAAATCTGAGATTCTCCTTTACATTCTAGAATCCCCCAAGTCCGAAGGCACTGCAGTCACAAGAGCCCAAAGGCTGACTTTCCAGGTGAATGATGGTGCATGCTCTTATTCTAGGCATACGATTTACCTAATACACTGTATAGCTGAGAAAGAAATGAAGAACCTGACTATCTGTACTTTGGCTGATACCCATTAATCCAAGAGCAGGGATCTGTATGATTATTTAAATATTGTGAATATGCAAATATGTCTTTTAAATGGCAGTTGTAAACCTTTTGTTCCACTAATTGCTGAAAAGAAAAATCCTGAAGGACCCAACTTGCCATTGACTTTATTAGGACCATGATCAGACCTTTCCTCTAGTCTGTGTTCCCCTAAAAGCCTTCCTTCCCCACCGGCTAACATAATTCATAATCGGTTTACAGTCAAAGGATCCTCGCCTCTTCCTCCAAATTCAGATCTGAAATAAAAGATATACTGTCATCTGAGAAGAGCCTTGTTCAGGCTCTGTATAGATTGAGAAGGAGTGGTGATCGAGAGGATGAATGGAAAAAAGGAATAAAATCTTGCTATTATTTTTTAACATTATTTACTGTCCTATCTATTTTTAGAGCCTGATCCTAGAGCCCGTTGTGGTTGATGGCTTTTGTCCAGGTCTAGTAAGCTCATCAGGGCAGGTCCTATCTTTTATGTAGGACCCAGCACAGGGATCATGACTGGTGCCTCTGGAAGCTACAGTAATACAAATATTAGTAAGAACATGCAGCCATTTAGCTGCCCATTTGGATGTGGTAGAGGAGTCACTTTAATTTACATTGCGAATATTTAATTTCAGGTTTAAGAATAAAAGAGTGATAGCCCAAGGGAGTTTCGTGTTAACTTGATAATAGTTACATCTATGTCCTGGGCTGATCTATGCTTTTTCTGTTTGTTTAGTTCCTGATATAGTTATTGTCTTATAAACAAAAAGCACCTTCGACTTGTTCAAATGAACTTCGTGTTTATTTAGAAAGACTGGTCAATATGATAAAGAATCTTTATTTAAAGAATCAGAAAATTTTCAAAAAGTGCAGAGAAGAAGTTCAGCAGCATACTTAGATCTCATTTCAACAAGGTATTTAGGTACTGGCCCAACGTAAGTACATGGGTAGCTGCACTGCTGAGCACTCATGCTTAAAATTAGGAACCTTGATGAAATAGGACTTTTGAAATGTATGCTTCTCTTAATGCATAGCAGGATTTGTATTTGTCAGACAAAGCAGCACCTACTTATGCAAAATAATTTAGGCCCCCAGACAAAGGGACCTCTTTTGGTTGGTTGAATTCATCCATACATAATATTATTACAGCTGCAAGTATAATTTAAGCTTTTTATAGAAGTACCTTTTACAGTCTCTCGTTTCCTTGAAAAACTATTTATAACCCTTTAAAGTTTGCAAAAGAACCCAATCTTTGTTGGGGTTTTTTTTGTGTCAAGAGGCAAAAAATTTTCATCTTTATGCACCTAAAAAAGAAAAACCTTCATTGGAAAAGTCTTTTTCCATTTATTCTGCTCTGATTTCATATTTGGGAAAAATCTGATTTCAATGTTCGAAAGGAGACTGATTGTTGAAGTTCAAAGTGGCCTATTTAAAGTGGATCTACTGGCAATCTGTCAAGTTGCTGAAAAAATATTCCTTTTTGAGATTTAATGTTTCATATACAACTTTAATTGTTGGAAATAATATTTCAAGGTCATCAGTGCATTTGAAGAGAAAATCTCACTAGTCTTAAAAAACAAAACACATACATTGTTTGTATTTATTGAAGCTGGTATCACAGTGAATAAAGAAATATGAGCTCTGGTTCCCTCTGTTTTACTGTATGTACTGCATCTGATGAGGAAAACTGCTCTGAAAGCAGCCATTTATAAAACATGATTGAAGCTTTTGGTTTTTGAACAAATCCCATAGTTTCTATCATTTTGGCACCAGTCCAGTGCATGATTTCATAATGTTACCATCTCATTTTTATCAACAAAGTGTAAAGTATTTTATTTAGAGAACTACACTATGCAGTATCTTTAAGAACCATTTCCAGTGTTTGTAGGCTCCCCCAAATGATTTATTTTGAAGGTACCACAGGCCTACAGGCTGCCCCTCTGATTGTTTGTATTTGATTTTTGCTTTTCAAAACCACCATTCCAGTAATTTTTTAAAAAACTGTTTATGTAGAACCCATGTGTGTGTTCCACTTATAATCAGCCAACAGAGGGAGCACCAGTAAGCTAAAGCAGAGGTTCCCAACCTGTGGCTCATTGACTACTTAATAGTGAGCCATAGAAACATAGCTGGTGTCAGGAGGCTGAATTCTTCTTGTTTCCAGCAACTAAATTGCATTTAAAAAGCTGAAAATATTGTAAATACTTTGCTAATATTAAGTTTACATGGAAGCAATTTCTATAGTTACAAGGAAGTGATATGATTGAAAATAGATGGAGAGGTGGTTCACACTATGAAAAATTAGAGAATATTTTACCTAAAACAATACAGTCCTCAAAGTGAGGTCTAAGTATGTCGGTAAACAAATAATGAAATAAAAAGCTTTGATCATTGTAAACTCATGAAAAAAATTGCAATAGCAATTTTTTCTGTCAGATGATGCCATTTTGTCAAAATCGAAACTTTCTATGGAGAACAAGTCACATTTCATAAAATTTCATTTACAAAAAATCAAACCCAAACATTTTAATACATTTAAACTTCATGCATCTGATGAAGTGTGTTTTATCCACAAAAGCTTGTGCCCAAATAAATTTGTTAGTCTTTAAGGTGCTACAAGACTCCTCATTGATTTTGCTGAAGCAAACTAACATGGCTACCCCTCTGAAACCTAAAATAGAACATCTTCTCAACAGTACCAACTTTGAGGGTTGAATCTTCCAGTGTATGGCTACTTGAGAGAATGTCTCATTGCTATCATGTTTCTTGTATTCACTATCACAGCAGTTAAGATCCAGATTGATGCTCTAGCCTCCCTGTACCTTAAAACTGCTCCTTCTTAATGCTCACCAAGTGGTCTTCAGGCTGCAAGTTTTATTTTAACCAGGCTTTCATTCATTTGTTTTGTGTGATTGTTAGGCTCAAAATGATGGAGATTATAAACAAGTAAACTCTGGAAATGTGATTTTTTTAATTGAGCCTTGCATTAGTGGGAACTCAAGCATACTGATTTTTCAAGTAAATAAAAGATTAAACATTTTTAGTTTTGTGCTGTCACGTGAGAGAAGGATACATTAAATGGACAGGTGGCAGTTATTTTGCTAAGCGTTAGTTGAACTATCAGTTTTAAACTATTTCCAAATAGCCCTTAATAAATTCTCTGTCTCCTTTGTGTTTTCCAGGGTGTGCTGACTTACATCTCCTAGACATGCTAACACCTACTGAAAGAAAAAGGCAGGGATACATCCACGAACTGATCGTAACAGAAGAGAACTATGTAAATGACCTGCAGTTAGTCACAGAGGTAAGAAGAACGACAGAGGTTTGCTTATTTAGATGCCTAAACATGGATTTAGGAGCCTAACTATTTTTTTTTTAAATAGTAACTAGAACTTGATCATACAAAGCTGTGGGGTTTTGTTTAAAAATTCCTGCCACATTTGCCTTACTAGGAATGATCTGACTTGAGTTTTTAGTATGCATGAGCATGTGAGTCTTTTGTTACCAGCAATGAGACATCGAACCTTTTGTGTTAGTACAATCTTTTCACTACTGATTTGGACAGTTTATTTCACATGTATAACCCATTTGTCTGGTCACTGGATGCCTTCCCCAGAGCACCTGCACTGGACATTGCTGTACATTTGCAACATGATTTGTAACATAGAACCAAATAGCCTTTTCTCCTCACCAAAAGAGGGTTTCCCTGACACCCACTGTAGGGAAGGGGGAAAAGATGCTCCATCTAAGCCAATATGGTGGTAAGGGAAAAATTCCTTCCCTTAAAAGGCAGTGACCACCTCAGTGCCCACAGCAGGTCATAATCCAACCTGACAATCACTGCTCTTCACTGGGAGGGTGGATGCTGTCTTGCCTGCTGTTTGGAGAAAGCTTGGATGTTTGTAACACCCAGGGCTTGCACCTTTACAGCCTTCTGTCCCTTTCATTTCCCAGAGGTGACTCAGCACTGCACAGCTGACCACTACCCATCTTTTTGCAGCAGTTCTGGACCTCTTTTCTCCCTAAAGCACTGCTGCCTTCAATGGGAAAGTCTGGACAATGTTCTCCCCACCCACTTCAATTTGCAGTGCTGTCAGGTTGCTCACAGGTTCGAAAGCTACAGTGGCTGGCTCTCAGCCATTTGCTTTTCTGTACCTCAATTCAGTTTTGTAATTGTTATTATGTGTCACTTTCATGCAGAGAAAATGGAAGGCAAATAGCCATTTTAGGTAAATGAGCCTCTTAACTGAGGGAGACCCCTACTTTGCCAAAATGGTAAAGATATGAAAAGTTGATATGTGAGTAGATAAATAAAATAAACCAGTGAACAATTGTTTATCCAGCTCCGTGACTGAACCACAAAATCTGAAAGAAAATCAGTGAATTTTTCTCACCACAATGTTAAACTGAAATCTCGTTTGGATTGATTCACATAAATATTTAATTTTGAAATGAAATTAAATGTTTTTATATTTCTGGGTTTTTAGTTTTTTTTTCTTTTGGCTGAAACTTGATGCCCCCAACAAAATGCATTTTTGGTGAATTTTCTATTTGCCAGGAACAAAATAATTGTCCAGCTCTAGTCAATTATAAATTGGATGTCTGTAGATGAGAGGCCAAAGTAGACTAATAGAGTATTATGTCATTTATTACTGAGATATTTTGCAAGTACTAGTACTAAAGGAAATTCCTTAGGTTAAAACAGAGATAAACCATCTTGGAATAAACAACACTAATGCACATTTAGATTATGCCTTGTGATGCTCACACACATCTTATCAGGAAACGTTGTGGATCGCTAAGGTTGATAGTATGTTTTAAATTTATTCAAATGAATATTAAATATTATTGTATTATTAAGTATGCATACCTCTGCATAGAGATTATGAGCTTAGAACAAAGATAATAGTGCACTTTCTAAATTGCATGATTTCCTGCATCTGTAGATCTTCCAGAAACCATTGATGGAGTCTGAGCTGCTAACAGAAAAAGAGGTTGCTATGATTTTTGTTAATTGGAAGGAGTTGATTATGTGCAATATCAAACTACTGAAGTAAGTTGCTTTTTTCTATCAGCAATAAAATCATTAATATGAAATACATTATATAAAATAATCCCTTCTAATTATTTAATTGTGTGGAACTAATATTTGCTACCAGTGAAAACAGCAGTAGATTGCAAAAAAGCAAAACATACCATGTTATTACTTTGAATTCCTTTTGGAGAAAATCAAATAGTTTGTGCATATTTCATCAATGTAAAAGTGACATTTTCCTGCCTAAATAAATAAATACATTTTGCTGTGAAAATGGTAAAAGTTCTATGAAAAAGAGGCACATTTCTCCTTGAGCAAATTTACCCTGGAACAATTTGTGTAAAAAAATAATTTTAGCCCGCGAGGGAGAATTTCAGCTAATTCCGTATAAGCTTATATTTTAAACACATGCATAAGAGATATGCTGAATAGGATGGACTTAAGTACATGCTTATCAGCTTTGCAGAATCAGACTTTCAACTATTTTCATAGAGAAAAATCTGCATTTGGTAGTAGACCTGGTCACATTTCTCCTCATTGAGATTCATAAATATTAATATAAATTTTGTCAATAAAAATGGCTGTTGCATTTAAATATAATATCCTCATTATTTTTCACCTGGTCCATTGCTCAGAGTTTGCTGATAGTAGTGGGTTCTTATGGTTCAATTATGCTAGACTCGAAACAACATGATTTTACCAAAGTCACTTGTGCAGGACTTTTCAGTCAGCGAAGGGTTTTCCTCCAGGATCTCCTGGCACCTGTTCACTTCAGGATGCAGTATAATGTAATGCTAGACTCGTGGTGTCCAACTCACTAGCAACATGTAGCTATTTGGCCAGTTGAATGTGGCAAGTTGGCTTGAACAATGTGGCTATTTGGCTGCTTGAATGTGGCTAGTTCACTACATACTGCTTCAGAACTGGTTGAACACCACAGTGCTAGTATATTCACATTACTCTCCCCTTAACTGACAGACCTGTAAATCAGTATAAGTCTAGTCAGTGTGCACTTTTTCTCTGTTGTCTGAAGCACACTTGCATTGCTTTTTGTATACTGCCACTATATACAATATATAGACTAAAGTTTAGTCCAGATAAATATTAGGGCTGTCAAGTGATTAAAAAATAATCTCTATTAAACATGTGATTAAAAAGTCATGATTAGTTGCATGATTAATCACATTGTTAATAATTAAATATCATTTATTTAAATATTTTGGAAGTTTTTCTCCATTTTCAAATATATTGATTTCCATTACAACACAGAATACAAAATGCACAGTGCTCACTTCATTTTTTATTATAAATATTTACACTATAAAAACAAAAGAAATAGCACATCATACAAGTACAATAGGGCAATCTCTTTATCATGAAAATTGAACTTACATATGTAGAATTATGTACAAAAAATCTGTCTTAAAAATTAAATAGTGTAAAACTTCAGAGCCTACAGGTCCTACTTCTTGTTCAGCCAGTTGCTCAAACAAGTTTGTTTACATTTGCAGGAGCTAACGGTGCCTGCATCTTGTTTACATGTCATCTGAAAGTCAGAACAGGGATTTGCATGGGACTGTTGTAGCAGGCATCACAAGATATTTACAAGCCAGATTTTTTAAAGATTTGCCTCTTTATGCATCAACCATCATTCCAGAGGACGTGTGCCCATGCTGACGACAGGTTCTGTTTGATAGTGAACCAAAATAGTGCGAACCTACCCATGTTCATTTTCATCATCTGAGTTAGATGCCACTAGCAGAAGATAGATTTTCTTTTTTAGTGGTTCACATTCTGTAGCTTCCGCATTGGAGTTTTGCTCATTTAAGACATCTGAAAGCAAGCTCCACACCTCATCCCTCTCAGATATTGGAAGATTCTTCAGATTATTAAGCCTTGGGTTGAGTGCTATAGCTGTCTTTAAAAATCTTGGTGCCTTCTTTGAGTTTCATCAAATCTGCAGTGAAAGTGTTCTTAAAATGAACATGTGCTGGCTCACCATCCAAGACTGCTATAACATGAACTATATGGCACAATGCCAGTAAAACAGAGTAGTAGGCATATAATTCTCCCCCAAAGGAATTCAGTCACAAATTTAATTAACATATTATTTTAATGAGCATCATCAGCATGGCAACATAACCTCTGGAATGGTGTCCAAAGCTTGTTTAGTGTATCTGGAACATAAATACTTTGCAGTGTTGGCTACAAAAGTGCTACGTGAATACCTGTTCTCACTTGCAAGTGACATTGTAAATAAGAACCAGGCAGCATTATCTTTTGTAAAGGTAACCATGCTGAACAAAAAATAGGACTGAGTGGACTTGTAAGTTCTAAGGATTTACAGTGTTTTGTTTTTGAGTGCAATTTACATTTGTAAGTTTCACTTTCATGAGAAAGTGATAGCATTCGAGTACTTGTTAGGGAGATTAAAATGCATTTAATCAAGTAAACATGTAATCGCTCAAAATTTCAGTGGTAACAGTTACAAGTGGTGGGCAAGCAACTCCCTGGAAGCCGGTGTACGTGGGATGCTAGCTTTTAAGTGAGAAACTGTCACTGCTGAGAACGGACAAGACAGATAAAGGGTGGGAGTCCAGAAAAAGGCAAAGACAAATGGTATTTTGCTTAATGTCACACAGCAATTCAAAGGCGGCACTGTGCAAGGAGGGGACAGGAAGGAGGTTGCTTCCCAGGATCTGGTGTGTACTAGGAGCCTGGGGGTAACTATGAAGGTTAACTGATGAGCCCACACTTATCAGTTAACTATGTACACGGTTACACTTTCACATCCCTAGTACTTGTATGAAGAGATATTTTGTTTACCTTTGCCCATATGCAGGGTTGCCAGATTCTGCTGGTTTCTGTCCACATAGGGTTTTTTTCCTGCTGGTATTACTAAAGTGACATGTGTGTAAAGCAAGGACAAGTGAATAGAAATGCATGCTAATTGCAGACAACATTGACTGTGAGAACCATGCACTTTCTCTGCATCCATTGAAAGCACTGCTATGGTTCAACTGGCACAAACTGCAAATTCTAGGAACTGAAGCACAGTTAGCAAAACTACTGTCCCAGGAGACTGTCTTTGTCAACACAATCTTTTGGCTCACTGAGATGTGGATCACTCATGCGGCCCACTCATTAGGCTAGGTTGCGCATCACTGTTTTAGAGGTTGCGGTCTCATTCTCACTTAACAAAACAAGAACATTGTATTGCTTTGTTTAATATTATTTCTCATCTGGATTTGCCTCACATTTTGAACAGCAGTTTGGTGACCACAAGAAGGAAACCAGATTGGTGGTTGAGTCATTTTTACAATATAGAATGATTCCTGTGCTGATCTTTTACCGTTCTGTAACAGTCTTCATTTAAAAAATGAGCTATCAGCTAGTTTATTGTTGGTGTCAGTGACAATCCAGAAGTGGTCCAGTTACACATACAACATGCCTACCATCTTTTGCTTTGTGTCTAGAGCACTGCGTGTTCGTAAAAAGATGTCTGGAGAGAGGATGCCAGTGAAAATGATTGGCGACATACTTACAGCACAACTACCACACATGCAACCTTACATTCGGTTCTGTAGCTGCCAACTCAATGGGGCAGCACTAATTCAGCAGAAAACAGATGAAGTCCCAGAGTTCAAGGAGTTTGTTAAAGTAAGACAAACTAACCCATGTGGATTTCTTATCTCCAAAGTGCATCTAATCATTTTGCTGATTACAAAACAGGGCTCTGCTGTGGACAAGTGAAGAATTTTTAGGCCCAAGTGTTCATTGAGGAACAAAATTTGGTCAAAACATCATACAAGATTGAAATTTTTATTATTATTAAAGGGGCAGTACTATTACCATAGTACCAAGAGGCCCTGCTGAAATCAAGGCCTCAGTGTGCTAGGCACTGTACATAGTGAAAAACCGTCACTGCCAGGAATGGAGAAGACGGATAAAGGGTGGAAGAACAAAGTCAAAGAAAAATAGTGTTTTGCTCAATGTCATTCAGCAGCTCAAAAGCAGAGCTCAGACCTCTTGATTCCATCCAGTGCCGATTCATCAGACCATGCTGCATCTGAGGTAGAAAAGGGTTATTACAGTGGGATCTCCAGCTCACCAATCTGTTGAGGTAGTGTTCCCACTTGAACTTTTCTAGTGTTTCGCCCAGTCTGTTTTTAAATGTCAAGAGAGATGAGGCTTCTGCCACTTCATTAGAAGATTATTCCACAGCCTAAAGCAGTTGTTTGCCAAGATATGTCTAGGATACCACAGAACGAAGAACATAATAATGGCCTGTCTACACTTGAAAGGCAACAGTGGCACAACTTCAGTGCTGCAATTAACCCACCTACCTGAGAGGCAGTAGCTAGAGTGAGGACAGAATTCTTCTGTCAACCTAGCACTTTCTGTACAGGGACTTATGTTGGCTTAACTATGTCCCCCAGAGGGGAGGGGATAGATTTTTCGTATCCCTGAGCAAGATAGCTGGGTTGACCTAACTTCTAGGATAGACCTGACCACAGATTAGCTATAAATATTTAGAGAGTGAAACTCAAAGTACTGAACAATCCATTATTATTCAGTGTGATACTTGGGCATATGACTAAGAATAATGGAAGAGAAAATATAGATTAAATGCCAGGGAAACTGTCTTGACAGGGTAATGTACTGGGCTGTGCAGTAGTCTTCCAGAGGAATTGCCCTCATTGAGTATTTTAAAAAGGGAATTGGTAAAGCACTAAAAATGTTTTGTTAAGAACAAGGGTGCTTTGGAAGGGGTACGACCTCGATTATGTAGTAAATCTTTTCAATATATAATATCTGTGGAAATATTAATAAATCTGCTTTATTCATTGAGCCGCCAAACTTCTCAGGGTACATTTGGAGGCAATCTGCATAATTTCCAGTATATATATTCCACTTTTTTCCTTTGAAGGAGCAAATAGTGGAAATGTCTTTTTGTAGTCAACATAGACATTGAAGATAATGCTATAATGATTTCAGTTCAAATCTATTAATAAATAGCATCATGATTCATAAGCCCCCTCCCATAATAAGTAAGCTTACTTCATAATATTTATACAGTCAGAGAATGTAGGTATCTCTAGGGATCATAAAGCTGTTCTTATCTACACCATACTCAACCCTGTTTGTAAAAGTATGAGAAATTCTATTGCTTAGAACCTGTCAGAATTCTTGTTCTAACTCAAAACTGGTTTATGTGAAGCATACTATGCATTTATTGACTTAACATTTTATCTTTTACATTTTTCAAGGAACTTGTGTCCCAGTGTCATAAACAAGCTGGCTAACAACATCTTATCTTTAATATTTCAGAGGTTAGCGTGAAGTTTTCTGCTAAAGCCTATGCAAAGGGTAACAAGATACCCACTAATAATTAAAAATGTACGTTTCTTTTTTTTCAAACATACTGAAATATATTTAGAGGGTTTGTAGCTTATTTGTAGTTAAGTTTCCCTATGTATGGCCATTCTTGATATTCTCAAGATGCTTGACGCATCAGATGTGATGTGGAATATGGGCCAAATTTGTATTCCCCTTACACTGAGATAAATCATGAGTAACTTGGCTAATTGCAGTGGAGTTATTCTATATTTACACTGGCATAATGGATGGTGGAGAATAATTTATATGCCAAGGAACAGGAGGGTTTAGCAGCCAAAGCCTGGGTAGTGGATACACAGTGAAGAAATGTAGATGGACCAAGTTATCTGACACACCTCTGCTAGCTGCTTTCCCTCACCAGTTACATCACCATGAAATTTCAGATTTAAGTATCTGAAACCAAGAAAAAACAATTCTTATAATCCTATGACCATGAAGTTGATCAAAATTGACCGTGAATTAGGGATGAAATAGTATAGTTGATTAACGGATATGCAAAAGCTTATAGGTAATGCTATAGACTACACACATTTCCTTCCCCCCTCTCCCTCCCGCCAGTACATTTTTTAGCAGGCTGGCCAGCAGTCCAGCTCAATCCTGGCTTGTGCTGGGTCCAGGCCCTGCCCCTGCTGCAGCTCTGCATTTAAAGTGTATTAGGAGCTGGGTGGGCAGGCAGCCCTGCTCAGTTCCAGCTCGTGCTGGGTCTGGGAGCTCAGACCGCCCCTGGACAGACAGGGCAATAGGCAGCCAGTCCATGAGGGGAGCAGGGTTTTAAACTGGCTCCCTTTGCAGACCAGCTCCCACCTTGCCCTGCTCTCTCTGTTGCCCTTCTTCCCTGAATCTCATTCACTAGGCTGGGGTGGGGGTGCAGGCTCTAGTCTTGGGTATGTGGCAAATGCCCTATCCCTTCAGCCACTCCAGGGTCCACCCCCACACTGCTGCCTCTGATATAGAGGCAGCAGTGTGGAGTGTCAGGGGGCTTCTTGGAAGTGAGGCCAGAGTGCACTGGCTGCTGGCCTTGCCCTCGGGGCTATAGAATAGTCGAGTAACTGATAAGAATTCGTGAGGTTAATCAACTATTCAATTAACCGATAGTTAACATCCCTACTGTGAATTTGGTAGGGCCCTATACTTCTTGAATCAGAAGAACAAACATAAAAAAGATGAATCTATACCTGGCAGATCAGAAGGTACCAAAAATTCATCGTCCAGTCTTGGACTGTTGGGTAGGTCGACTGATGTAAAGGCTCTGTGTAGCCCAACAGAGACTTTGCAAATTTCTTGCTCGCGCTATTTTTGGGTCAGATCAATGTTGCTAGTCTTATGAACATTAAGTTGACTTGCATCCACATACAAATTAGTGAAACAATGAGGAATTTTTGAATGAAAAATGTTGCTAGGAGATTTGCCTTATCAGCAATAAAACTGGCCAAAATGGGATAGTAAAACCAAAACACAACAGGGTTTTTTTGGGTGAAATTAGAACTGTTGAGAACAAAATAACTAAAACATTAAAATTTGGAAAATTTTGACCGGTTCTAAAAAAAGTAAAGAAATAAATAGAATGCAGAGCTAATAAGATGGGTGGATTTACAGCCAGAGGTGACAAAGGAAACTAAACTGTTTTACTTACCTGTAGATAATAGAAAACACTCCTGAAAATCACCCTGATCATAGTCACTTGAAGCATGCTCTGGAAAAAGCAGAAGAATTGTGTTCCCAAGTAAATGAAGGGGTGCGTGAGAAGGAAAATTCAGACAGGCTGGAATGGATCCAGGCTCATGTTCAGTGTGAAGGCCTGTCTGAGGTAAACATTGTAACTCATACTGAAGTACATAGCATGCCTATGTTTTATGTTTTCTCATCAACCAAGAGGTGATGGTTTGAACGTGTCATTGCGTCCAAAGATGAAAAAAAATATTGTCTTCGCTTAAACTTCCATATCTTTTTTTTTTTTTTTTTGGTCTTCCATTGGGCATCTCTCACATTCATGCAAACTATCCATTTCACTGCTGGTTTTTGTTTTGTTTTGTTTTGTTTTCTTCTATTTGGTGAGCAATACCTTTTTCTGCTAATGGAATGGTGCCAGATTTAATATTGCCATTTTAAACTATAACTTTGGTTTAGACAGTACTTTACAATAGTAGTACTGCTATCTTGAGTATACAATATATATATATCCTTCCATTCCGAAGGACTAATACACAATTCTGTATTGCTTTATACATAGAGTTGGTTGAAAAACAGCAAATATCTTTTGTGATCAACTCCTCTACACTTTGAAAATTCAAAAAATGTTTGCCAATCTATTTATAAACTTTACAGAGAAGAATAACTTTGTTAGACACCAAATAGAACTTTACAGGTGCCATGCTAAAGTCTCTTCCATTGTGTCATGATAAAAACTTTTTGGTTTTCTAGGTTCTATAAAAATAGTAACTTTTTTTTTAAAGTTCTGCTTGTGGCTCCCCTATTACTGATCAAGGTAGAAGGGGCAGAGAGAATAAACTTGATTTTCAAACTCCATACTGAGTTTGCAATCTTGGCAATGTGAAAAATCATCTTTTGTTTTATTAACTGAAAAAATGTATTTCATCTCACTGAGGGGCAATAAATGGGGAGCCCCCATAATGCTGTTTTTCCATCATACAGTGGAAAGACCCACCGGTCAATTTAAGAAAAGCGGTGAAGTCAATGACAGTTTTAATAAGTAGAACTATTGCCAAATAGCAAATGAAAGTAGGGAAGAAGGGCTGTCCTTCTACTGCCCTAACTCCAAGGTCCCACCCTGGTACACCCAAAAGACTATCTAGCAGTTGCTGACAAATTTATGCTGAGAGATTGGGCCCTCCCACAATCATGCCTTGCTTTCATCACTTCCTAAAGATTGGCTTGTTTCTAATCTGTGGAAGAAGTGACTCTACATAACATCTGACCCCGTGGGATGGGGTGGATCATGAAACACCAAAATGCCAACAAGTGCAAATAGGCCTAAAAGTTACACATTACTAAAAGGAACAGCTGAAACTAAACTTGTAAGACATAGCAGATAATGTTCATTTAATCCAAACTCCTCTCCATAGCCACTAACTAGCAGATGACCTGCTAAACCGAGCATCATGAGCACAAAAAGGAGAAGCAATATGCAGCAGGAAAGATCAAAAGGAGGCCCAAGTGCTTTTGACTTCCTTGCCATCCTCATGGGCTTGCTTGGTCAGACTGAAGGGTTTCAGATCAAATTAATAGTCATTTTTCTATCACCTTTCTATGACTTGTGTGGCTCGTAATGTGAGCCTGAGGCGTTACCCATCATCTCTGTGAAATGAACGGAAGCAATGTCCGAACTCAAACCTGGTTTTCATCTCTTCCAGGGGAACCTCAATTGTCTGATTTTGAACATTGCATTGTTGTTGTTCTTTTCTCAGCAACTCGTATTTAATTCGGTTACCAACTGCTTGGGGCCACGCAAGTTTCTGCACAGTGGGAAACTCTACAAAGCCAAGAGCAACAAGGAACTGTATGGTTTTCTGTTTAATGATTTCCTCCTGTTGACTCAGATCATAAAGCCCCTCGGTTCCTCTGGTACAGACAAGGTCTTCAGCCCCAAGTCTAATCTGCAGTATAAAATGTACAAAACTGTAAGTACCATTTTTCTGGCAGTGATGCTGTTGGTATTTTCATAGTCCAGGAAGGTAACCGTTCCCCCCTTGGAAGTATGGGCAATGGCACTGTCTGTTGCTGTGTAAGAAAGAAAGAGGCTTTTGAGTACAGTTGGGACTCGAGTCCTCGGTGCTGGTAATGGGCAGACAGGTTAGAAGCTTGATCTGTGTCATGGAAGGCGCTTTTGAGCATCCTGTTAACTGACTTCATGTATCCAGCTACAGACAGAGGGAAGAGATGCAGAGGGCAGTGTGCTCTGCTTCTGTGGGAAGGGAGAACTTTGAAACACTCGCACTCTGTGACTCAAGTAGAAGCATTCACAGGGTCTGGAGGGAGCTGGGACTTTGGCAAGAAGGGGGAATGAGACACAAAGCCTCTGAAGAAGGGAGTTTAAAAAGCAGAGAGAGAGGGAGGATGTTCTGGGCACAAAAAATAGTCTGTATCGTGTTCAGATATAGTGCTGTATTACTCTAGCTTTGCCTAATGTTTTACAGCCCATTTTTCTAAATGAGGTACTAGTAAAATTACCCACAGACCCTTCTGGAGATGAGCCTATCTTCCATATCTCCCACATTGATAGAGTCTACACGCTTCGCGCAGAAAGCATAAACGAAAGGTAAGTCACTGCAGCCTCCTCAGCACTGACTATAAAGATGTGGATGTATATATGTTCGTGTGCATGCACCCACGACCACCGCCATGAAAATCTTTATAGATATCCTTGCAAGTAGGTAACATTATTCAGGTATTGCAGTGTTCCCTGCATGTAGTATGGTGAATGCTGAAGGAATTATAAATTATTTGCAAAAATGTAATAAGAAAAGCAAAAAAAAAAAAAAAAAAAAAATGTGAGGAACAGCTAGCCAAAAACTCAAAAAACAATAGCAATTTTTTTTAAAAGTACATTAGAAGCAGGAAGCCTACTAAAAAAACAGTGGGTCCCCTAGACAATCGAGATACAAAAGGAGCAATCAAGGATGATAAAGCCATTGAGGAGAAGCTAAATGATTTCTTTGCGTCAGTCTTCATGGCTGAGGATGTTGGGGAGATTCCCAGACTTGTACTGTCCTTTGTGGGAGATGAATCTGAGGAACTGTCCTGGTTTGAAGTGTCATTAGAGGAGGTTTTGGAGCAAATAGAAAAACTTAACATTAACAAATCACCAGGACCAGATGGCATTCACCCAAGGGTTCTAAAAAAACTCAAATGGGAAAGTGCAGAACTGATAACTGTAGTTTGTAATCTGTCCTTTAAATTGGCTTCCTTACCTGCTGACTGGAAGATAGCTAACATGACACCAATATTTAAAAAGGGCTCTAGAGGTGATCCCGGCAATTACAGACCAGTAAGTCTAATGTTGGTACTGGGCAAATTAGTCAAAACAATAGTTAAGAATAAAATTGTTAGGCATGTAAAAGAACATAATTTGTTGGGCAAAAGTCAACATGGTTTCTGTAAAGGGAAATCATGTCTTACTAATCTATTAGAGTTCTTTGAAGGGGTTAACAAACATGCGGACAAGGGGGATCCAGTATCTATAGTATACTATCTGTTGCTGCAAACTTGAGAAGGCACGACTGCATCAGGTTAAGTTTGGAATGTTTTCTGTGCAAACATAAGGACTAGAAAACTATTAATAAGGGAAAACCTCAATCCTGCAGAAGCTGATGGGGCAATAGGGCAAGATGTGGTGTGGCATTGAGTACAGGTTCACTACGATCCTTGAAAGGCACCATTTGTAAAGATTTTAACACACATCAACCTGTGTAAAACATCCCTTACTCACCAGCTGGCCCATATTAGGGGTGTGGTGGAACTGTCACACTCAGGCCCTGGAAGGAGTGAGTGGCTATCTGACCTCCCTCTCTAGCAGCCAGCTGTGGTGAATGCATTGAGTAGCCGTGAGCAGGACTCCAGAGGAGCAATGAACATCCCTTCTCTTTTGCAGAGTGTTGCCACAGGACCTGTGCAGGAAGGGGGAGTGAGATAGAAAGGGGAGGCAAAGGAGGGACACATGGAACTCAGAGGGAGACCTCCTAAGAGGGAGAGCAGATAGGAATGACATGATATGGTATTGTGATTTATAGGCTTAAAAATTGTTTGTTGTGAAAGTCCATACCATGGTAGGATCATAGTAGTTCTCCTGGGTATTTTCTGTATCTCCATTTCTGTGCTATAGATTAGAGTAAATAAACAGAGTAGGCTAGATCCTCAGCAGAAGGCAATTGACCTAGCTCTATTACTTTAATAGAACAATGTTTCACAGTTTAAACTAAGTTGGGATCAGGTGCTGTGTTTCACACAATGATCACTCACCACAGTCGCATGTTCTGTATCGGAGTGACTTGTGCACCAATGTCTCAGCACTCTGAATATGTTTCCTACCACATTTGCTACCAGCTGAGTGATTATGCACTGTGCAGATGCTGCAGAAAGCAACATTTTAAAACTGATGGGCTCTGACACCTATCAGTTTGGGTGTTCAACAGCAACTGAAGTAACTGCATTAGCACCAGGAAATGATTAGCTGGGCCAACAATTCAATCTTTGCTTAATTGCTATAATTGTCCTGGGCTTTTTTAGGCTGCCACTCCTGCTTTGCCATTGTGGACACGTCATTTAAAATCAAATTGTATCTTTTTTGTTCATTTTTTTATGAAAATCACAGATATTTAGAGCCAAATCCAGATTCTGGTATATAAGTAGCGGCAACTCATTAGTAGAGTTGCACCCACTTATACCAGCATCTAAAATTGATACATAAGCTGAATCCTGAATTCCGACCACTCTGTCTTTGCTTATATCTCAGACTTTCTGAGATGTCATTTTTCTGCTCCTGAACTCTGCTCAGAACACCAGCCTTGATGCTCTGTATGTTTCCTTCTTTCCACTTTTTTCTCTGTACATTTTTCCAATCTAAGTCCCTATGAGTGAAAGGACCTCCACTTATCCTGGTTTACACAGTCACCATCTCCTCATTCACATCCTTTCTAAAAACTCCACAGGCCAGTTGTTCAGATGGCATAACATAGTACTGTAGTTAGTAGAGCTACACTGATTTTCACAGACTGTGTGTGTAGCCCCCAGAGATTTTGTAATGTAACATTTGTTGTAGTAGTGCCGGAGGAATGGGAGGAAAAAGTTCTCACCTCCTCTTGATTTCCCACTCTGTCCTGGCCACTGTGATTCTGCCTCCTAGGCCTTCTCACAGATAGACCTTTCTGCCTCTGCCTAGTTGACTGTCTCCTAGGTGCAGGGTCCCAATCTAGCATATAGCACTGTAGGCCCAGACCTAGAGATCGTAAGGGCTCTAGAGCAGACTGTGTTTTTGTTTACCATGAAGTGCCATAGAAATAAAATAGTAATCCTCCTGCTGTGAAGTAACTTTTGTCTTTTCCTTCTGAAGGACGGCCTGGGTGCAGAAAATTAAAGCTGCTTCTGAACTGTACATAGAGACGGAAAAGAAGAAGAGGGAAAAGGCCTACTTAGGTACAGTGTGGAATACAGTGCCTGTAGTCTTTCATGGAAATGTCAAAAGCCAGGGGTGCGTACTAATGAATTTTGTCCTTCCCCTATTCCCACATCCCTCTACAGTTCGCTCCCAAAGGGCAACAGGCATTGGAAGGTTGATGGTGAACATTGTTGAAGGCATTGAACTGAAACCCTGCAGGTCACATGGTAAGGACCTCACTGATTTTTCCTAGTGTGTGTTATAAAGAAAGACGCTTCCCACAGGTGTAATTGTCTCACACTAAAGAAAGATTAGGCCCAAAATGTAGGTATTGTGAAATGAAGCGAGTTTAATGAACCTAATATTCATAGAAATAGTTTTTTGCAGGATAGTGAAACTTGGGCAGTTGTCATGTATTTAAGTATTTTTTACAAGGTTTTTTTTTAGGCTTTGTCTACTCAATCACTTTTGTCAATTGGTGGTGTGAAAAAACACACGCACCCCAACTGACATACATTTCACTGACAAAAGTGCCGGTGTGGACAGTGTTATGTCAGCAGGAGAGGGTCTTGTTGAGGGTGGTTTAATTATGCTGGTGAGAGAGCCCTCTCCTGCCAGCAAAGAGCAGCTACACGGAAGATCTTACAGCGGCACTGCTGTAACAGTTCAGCTGTGCTGCTCTAAGTTCCATAGTATAGACACAGCCTAGGTATCACTCACATACGGCTTGATCCTGCCAGGTGCTGAAATCATGAGGAGCTGAGGGTCGGGCCCCCAGAGATGCTCTTCATTCATTAAAGCGGTGCTTGCACAGCAGACATTTCCTAATTAGATGGTAATGGAAGGTAAAGAGGATTTAGAGGGATGTTAAATCTGTGCCATCAAAATGGGATCACACCCCTGCATCTGCTTTGTTCCTTTCAGGAAAGAGTAACCCATACTGTGAGGTAACAATGGGCTCTCAGTGTCACATCACCAAGACTATGCAGGACACCCTCAATCCTAAATGGAACTCTAACTGCCAATTTTTTATCAAAGACCTGGAGCAGGATGTTCTGTGCATAACTGTATTTGAAAGGGATCAGTTCTCCCCGGATGGTATGTATGAAGTTGCTACGCTTCTGGAGAGGTTTTCCCTCCCCCCCCCTTTCCATTTCTTAGGAGTTATGTGGGTGCTGACAAACATTTAACAGCCTGGAAGCACCCTGTTTATAGCTCTGATGCGTCTCTTAAGGTATGTCTATGCTGCAGTTAAAGATGTGATTGCAGGTTGGGTACACATCCCCAAACTATCTTTAACACGACTAGCACAGCACAAGAGGTAGGCTTTGGTGCAGACTAACAAGCCTGCTTGGAACACTGGGGTACACATTTGCCGTCTTAACCTGTCCTGAAGTGTGGGGCAGCATGTCTTCACTGCTGTGCTGAGCTGTGCTTGCTAGACGAAAGCTAGCATGTGTATGCCTACCGAACATGTCTGTACCTACAATGCTGCAACTGCACTGCAAGACACAGACTGGATCTTGTCAGCGTAAGCACAGGCTCTCCACCCGTACCTCTCGATGTTCGGAGACAAAGTGGGCAGATGTCTCAGGACAGGAGAAAGGGAACTCAAGGAAGCAGGACAGTATCATAGAGGTTCAGGCAAGCAGAAGATCTTCCCTCTTCTTTTCTTCCTGTCTTCTCTTCTTGACCCGTCGTGCTGCAGGCAGTATGCGGACAGGAAGGCAAGTGGTGAAAGCAGATTCGAGAGATCCGGCGGCCTGGCCTTACTGCAGTCACCTTAACCTAAAATGAATATGCTCTGCACCGGCAACTGCTACAGGATGTGGGGACACAGAGTTGCCCCACCACTGAAGACCATCCCAGACACACTCTCTAGCTGGAGATTTCCAGTCTCTCCGTGGTGGGCAGCAACCAGGCTCCTTCCTCTGACAGCCTATCAAGCCAACAGCCTGCCCCAGCTGTCTGAAGGGGCCACAGATTAGCTGTGACTTCAGCATTGTAGAGTTTCTCAGAGAGTGAGGGGCGAGTGAACCCCACTTTTCCCGCCTTTTCCTTTCCCTCCCTTTTCAGGCATGGGATGGTGACAGGGAGGCTGACCACCATCTCAGAGGGAAAAATCAAAATGGTGGACGCACAAAGAAAACTGGCGCCCTTCCTCTAACAGCGCAGTTGCACCAATACAGCTGCGTGGCTGCAGTGCATCTAGGGAAGACACTCTATGTTGCTAGGAGAGCTCTCGCCCATAGGTAGAATAAAATTATCTCTGCAAATTGCAGAAGCTGTGTACATAGTGCTGCGCATGCAAGCACTTAAGTCAGTGTAAGTTATATAACTCAGGAGGTGGTTTATTCACATCCATGAGTAACAAAAGGTATGCTGACATAGGCTGCAGCATTGACATAGTTTTAGTTTCCAAGACACATCGAGTTGTAGTATAAACATACATTAACTGAGAGTAGGATCACATCAGTATAAGTGTGAGGAGAATCAGGCTCTGCATACCTTTTGGATTTCCTTTCTTGTCGAAGCAAACTGTTTTACTTGCCATTGTAGCATGTCTGTTTGGAGATGGATAATTTAGGGCAGAGGGAGGTGAAGTGACTTACCCAAGTCCACCTGACAAATCAGTGTTAATGCCAGGAATAGAATCCCATTCTATTCTGCATTGCAATGTGGGTAAACAGATTCACACTAGCTCTGCTCAGGCTAACATGCTTACAACAGCAGGCTGGGTGTTGTTGCATGGGTGGTAGCTCAGGCAAGTTACTAGAGTCTTAGCCCGCCCAAGCTCAGGCATTTAGCCCAAACCCCAGCCATGCTACAATGTCCACCTTGCTATTTTAAGCATCCTAGCTTCAGCAGAACTGTCATCTGTCCAGCCAGTCTGGGAATCACATCTCCAGTATGACTCCCAGTTCCTTCCACAAAGTGAAATTTGCTCCTAGCACTGATGTGTTTCGTAAGGCAAGGGACTCCAGAAGACAATGTCCTCTCCATTTAGCCCAAACCCCAGCCATGCTACAATGTCCACCTTGCTATTTTAAGCATCCTAGCTTCAGCAGAACTGTCATCTGTCCAGCCAGTCTGGGAATCACATCTCCAGTATGACTCCCAGTTCCTTCCACAAAGTGAAATTTGCTCCTAGCACTGATGTGTTTCGTAAGGCAAGGGACTCCAGAAGACAATGTCCTCTCCTAACCAT